GAAAGTTAAGTGTAAATGCAGAAAAAGGTCACCGTTGCTATTCTTTCAAAAATATATATATGTTCTGGCTATCAAGTTAATCATTTAGCTTTAATATGTTATGACTCACAGACCCAGAACAAGCAGAAAGTCAAAATCAAGCTAACTCCTGATCTAAGCATCTTTCCTGAATCAGTAATTCAGAAAACATAAAAGCAGGGCAATCAGCATTTTCATAAAGTGACCAGCAATGGAACACCCATATTCTTCTCAAGACAATTTTTTTTAAGACTTAACTTACTTTTAGGGGTTAGGTTATAAGGCTTAGGGGAAGGCGGAATTAGGTGCTGATGTGTGATTAAGGATACAAGGTTTCGGGAAATACTTGCTTTCAGTGCTGAATTACCTTACTAAAAAAATAATGACCATGGCAGATCATAAAAATGTTGTGACTAAAACTTACCCAGCCTCCTATACTTCTTGCGACTTATCAGCAGCACTGTATTTGGACAGCCTCGAAGAAGGGGGAGCCTATTTCCCAGAAACACAGTGGCTATTTCAATAGGCTTCAAAGACTCATGCTTTATTTTCTGTTTCTGATGTCTGGACAGACAAGACTGGATTTACATGGATTTACTCATAGCCAACATACACCACAGACTAGGGTGGTAGGACTGCAAGGGGTTGCACACCACCACTCACACATCATATTGCTGCCTGTCCAGGGGCAGACTGACCATTTGGAAACTCGAGCACTGCCCAAGGGCCCGGGGTCAGTAGGGGGCCCTATGAGATGCCCCTGGTACCTTTTTCATAGGCTTTTTTGAGTTTGGGCAAGGACACAGGGGCCCCATGATCCCCTGTTGCCCGGGGGCCCCATGAGTTGTCAGTCCGCCCCTGTGTCTGTCACTAACAAATTTTTTTATGTATGATAAAAGGTTTCAGTCATCATGACTGCTACTGCAACCCACCTTGTTGTTGCTGTCCCTTGACTGTTTGTGTATTTCTTTTGGTTGAAAAGTGTACTATGTACTTACGGTTTACTCTTCCTAGTTACATACACCTAGAACTAAACTGCTAGCAGAGCAGGGTGACATTTTGCCTATCTTTTGTAATAATTCTTCAGGTGTACTGCAGCAGATATAGTTTGACCAACCTAGCGTTAATGAAATGTACTGAGATATGTGGCCTCAGCCAGCACTACTCCGGCCATGCCCACTGACACAATTTGCCCCTCCCACCATGAGATTGGGCACAGCCTTTGTGACCAAGTCTCGATGGACTGGTGAAATACGTCAGTGGGCATGGACAGAGTAGTGCTGGCTGAGGTCACTTATCTCAATACATTTCATCGGCACTAGGCCAGTCTAAGCGGCGTCCTACACCACATAGTTTGACACTTCTGGATAAGTGACTTTTGATGCCTGCCCCCATCTCCTGAACACAGGTATGGAGATACTTTAATCTCAACTTGGAGTGGTGCTTCATATTTCTTCATGATTGCAGCAGCCTTCATTTCCTGTCTCAGGACTCAACAGGAAGTGAGGGATCTTTACCAAGTAAGGGAAATCCTTTCTTAGCCAATGGTCACCAGAATAAAAGTCCTGACAAAGTTTTCACCTCAGCACACTGCCTATGACCGCCTGTGACATACAGGTGTAACTTTAAGAAAGAAGTCCTTTGTCATCCCGAAACATTGGTGCTTTCTTTTCTGTTTTAATGACCACATTTGCATTTTGATCTCAATAACATTTTGTGTGTGTTGGCTACCTCTTGTAATAGAGGTTTTTATTGTCTATGTTCCCGCTGGACAGCTTTACCTTCTGTATTTATTTTGTTGACCACTGTCAAAAGGACTAAAAGCAAGGAAACAATCTAACATTTATTGTTCTCACTGGGTCAGGAACAGAGGTGAAATCTTCCAAAGGGGGCATTTTGTGCGGTGACAACTGGCCTGTACTTTGGATGGCTCTCATTTCCTGTTGAGTCTTATACTATTAAATGGCATCACCATAAGCTGAACATCCCAGTACTGTGCATTTGGGTATCATTCCGGATAGATTGGACATTTTTCTTGTGCTAATCACCTGACAGGGGTTTATCCAAGATAAAACAAATAGCATTAAGGGCTCATGTACACTGCAGCTGATAAACCCACATTTAGGAGCTGTTCAGCATTTTTTTCAGCAGCCCCTGAACTCACCCTAATGTTTTTCTACGTGTCCATGTACACATCTTCATTTACAGTCGTTTGCAGGCATTTGAGTTTACAATCGTTTTTTTTGATAGCAGAAAACTTGCGTTCAGCAGTCGATTTTATCAGCGTTTCAAATGCAAAATGCTTGTAAACGCGGCAAATCGCGTTTAGAAGCGTTTGTAAAACTTTTTTAACTCTTTCAGTTCCTGATGCTGTCCAGAGCCTTTTTTCATCATGAAAAATGCATGTAAAGCATTTTCAAGGTACTCAGACGGACAAAACACTGAACACAGGATGTTCCTACCAAGCTTGTCACACATTGTAATGAGCAATTCACACCTCAGACCTCTCCCTCCCTTGGAAACAAAAGATATGTTAATGACCATTCACACCTCAAATTCCTCATGAAGACCCCCTACCAGGTGGCCTTAATGACTCCCTCCACCAGACACCTTCCCCACCCTTGGAAACAAAAGAAATGTTAATGAGCAACTCACACCTACGCTAATCTCAACACATACTGCTGTCTCTGCTTCTACTCTCTGTATTTCTCTGAAACAGTCTGAAATAGTTAATAATTTACCACTTTTCAGTGCATTCTGGGCATTTGGAAGGTTCTACTGTGCTTATCTTTAAATACGTTTTTAAACACAAACGCACATAAACACGCATAAACACGGATAAATGCGTTATGCAAACTTGGCTAAACAGACGTTTTTTAACCTGCATTTTCCAGCAGTCAGTTTCCATCGTTCAGAAGTGTCAAGTGTACATGGGGCCTAAGTATACCTTTCAGGGCTGATTCCGTAACATTGGAGCAGAGAAAATGTGAAGAAATGTGAAGCTATTGCTTTTAGTAATTGACACGTCTTTACCGTTCATTACAGGAAAATTAAATAAGAATATAGATTGATAGTTTTGGGGACAAGCTTCACTTGGTGCTCACCATCTTTTCTTTAGTTTCAATTAATCAGCCTCTGAAGTAATGTTTATTTTTCTGTGATTTCTCCTTTAATCTACAAATGTTACAAAAATGCTCTTTTCTAGGGGCCAACTTGTCATTTTTGCTTATTGGCTCCTTAATTACCTCCAGCTCTTGGTTTGGAGGCACACAGCCATCTACAGAGCTAGAACTAAGTCAGCTGGGAAGGGGTGAGGTCATGTGAAACTCCCTATGCACTGGGAAGGCAGACGGGGGCAGGTGCGCCTAAGCTGGCATGTTGCTAAAAACTAGATAGCCAAGTGCTGGCAGTGTGATCAGAAGGAGCTGCTATTGTAAACATTTGGCACAAAAGGGTCCTGGGTGGAGAGATTCCCTGGCAAGGCCTCAGTTTCAAAGGGTGACACTGACTTCCATGTGAGTCTGGAAAGACATGTGTTTTATTTATTTGCTAGTGCTTATTTATCTAAAGATGTGTTCGTATTTTTTGATGCTTCACATGAAAGCCAATTTCCACACGACATTCCCTTTGGTTGAATCAATCGGAAAGCAACATGGAAATATTCAAAGGAGAGTTTCTACTAGCACCATTTCTACTAGCACAAGAAATATGAAATTGCCAAAATTACAGTATATAATGTATATGTGGATAAGTAAGTGAACCGATAACAAGATCTAACCCTACTTACCTACTATGGGCTATTTGTTTTTGCTCCTATTTTGTTTCATCCTGATAGCAAAATATGGTCTAAAGACATAGTGTACAATTAAAGCCTTCAAAACTGTCAGACATGAAAAGCTGGTAGTTGGATGATCCTGCATGAAGATTCGCCATGTATAAAGCAAAATCAAAATTCAGGATGCTCAGCTCCTCAACTCGAGAGCTCTGGCCTACCCCCTCCAATAGCTATATTTTGGTATTTTGTCAATTAAACAGCAAGACGGGAAAAAATCTCCAACAAAAAGGGGACACTTTACTAAAAAATACAGGCTTTTTATTTTTGCTTGTGTTGTTGGTGAGTTTTTTTCCCTTTTCCTGTCCCAGTGTCCACACAATAAATTGATATTAAACTCTAATTTTTTTAAGCACTTTCAGCAGATGATTGAATCACTTACTGAGTATGCAGCTACTTTATTTCTTAATCCTTGCCTATGTTCCAGTTTAAGTTAGTGCTATGACCACTGTCCCAAGCAGGGGCGGACTGACCATTCGAGCACTCGGGCACTGCCCGAGGGCCCGGGGTCCGTAGGGGGCCCCATGAGATGCCCCTGGTATCTTTCCTTGGCTTTTTCATAGGCTTTTTTGGGTGTGGGCAAGGACACAGGGGCCCCATGATCCCCTATTGCCCAGGGGCCCCATGAGTTGTCAGTCCGCCCCTGGTCCCAAGTTTCCTTTTTCAGAGTAACTCCTTTCTCTTGCAGTTTCATTTAAAGCCACCCATGCATGCAGGAACTAGAGCTGTGTCTCCCTGTACTGTGTGCATTAAAGTGTTACTAAACCCCGGGCCCTGGATTCACTATATCGGGTCTCCCACAGTACAAACAACATGGAAATACAATTATTTTTGTAAATATAAACTGCTAAATACCTTTTCTCATCAGTAGGTAGAGTAGTCTAGTGACTTCTATCAGTGTCCAGCTGAGCACTGGTTAAAGCTTGTAGGAGTTTTCTTTCTGCTCTAGGTGAAACCCCTGACCCTCTGTCTGGATTGTGCTGATTGGCCCTGTGCTGATCACATACACTCTCCCAAGGAGAAAAAAAAACATTTTCTAGCAATACACACCAAACTGAGCATGTGCATGTGACTACGGATTCAGTCTGTATCAGGTGGACATTTCAACATGAGGAGGGGCAGACAAGAAAGGATCAAAAAGCCCTTTCACACAATGCAGAGGATTAACCCCTTATGTTCCACAGTGAGTATAACAAGCATGCTTTACTGCATATACAGACTGATGTTACTGTTGTGGGTTTAGTAACACTTGGAAAAGCACAAACATGTAGCCTAGGATAGCAAGACAGCCCCTCCTCCTTCCCCCTTCCTTCCCCAAGCCTACATACTGCCTGAAGACTGCACTGTCCACTCCCATATGGAAGAAAAATATATATGAAATATATTTTAAAAATATTCTTGCCATATATTTGAAATGCTACAATTTTGGGCATATTTAATATTTAATTTTTTATATATATATATATATATATATATATATATATATATATATATATATATATATATACACTGCATGTTGAAATGCGTTTTTATTACAAAATATATGAAAAATATTTTTAAAAATACATTTCAAATATACTGTAAGTCTTTAAAAATACAAATCTACATTTTTGGAATGCCTTTACAAATATATGTATAACTATATGTTAACCGCTTCCATACCGGGCACTTTTACCCCCTTCCTGCTCAGGCCAATTTTCAGGTTTCAGCGCTATCACACTTTGAATGACAATTGCGCGGTCATACAATATTGTACTCAAACTAAAATTTGATAATTTTGTTCACACAACTAGAGCTGTATTTTGGTGGTATTTAATCACTACTGGGGTTTTTATTTTTTGCTAAATTAACAAAAAAAGACTGGAAATTTTGAAAAAAAAACACGTTTTTCTTTGTTTCGGTTATAAAAGTTTGCAAATAAATAATTGTTCTTCATAAATTTAGGCCAAGATATATTCTGCTACGTTTATTTGGTAAAAATAACCCAAATTAGTATTTATTATTCAGTCTGTAGGAAAGTTATGGATTTCACAAACTATGAGATATATCTGAAAATTGATCAATCTAATTTCTTGAGGTCCAGGATTGTCAGGAAAGTACGGATATCCCCCAAATGACCCCTTTTTGCTAAGTAGACAGTCTGACGTACTTCATAAGAGGCATGGCGAGTTTTTTGAAGCTGTAATTTTTGTGTCATAATTTTTCGGAAAATGAAGAAATTAAAAAAAATGATTTTCACTTTTATTTACATACTGTCACCAGTGCAGTACAGCATCATCATATAACTGGCATGACGGCGATCAGGGACACTGACTGGTGACAGTACGAAAAAAAAAAGGATTTTTTTAATATTTTTTTTATTATTTTTAATTTTTTATTACATTGTTTTCTCTTTTTTTAAGATTTTTTTTCATATTGCATTATGACCAAAGTTTTATAATGTTACCATAGTAACATTGTACTACTTTGGGAAAGTGATCAGTATTTCTTTTTTTTTTTACACAATTTGCTTATAGCAAAGAATTACTTTTCTATCAGCAAGCATTTACCTGAATGAAATCGATTCATTCAGGGGGTTTTTTTGTGATTAGCTGTGATTTGGCCATGGCTAATCACATGACACAGCTGGGCTGTGATTGACCTAGCTTGTACATGTGATCGCTTTGACCATTCACAGCTAGACACACTTGCATACAATGGATTGCATGAAAGGAAGCCATCCATTGTATACAACTGCCATGTGACCTGCTGTGATTGGTTACAGCAGGTCTCATGGTACTGGCAATGGGGCGGTACACAGATCTGTCATTGGCCGTGTCCGAGGTACGCGGCCTGTGACAGATCTCGCTACAGCACGGCTCTGCAGAGATGCGCAATGCGCGTTCCGGAAAGGATGCCATATGGTGTCCACCCAGAGGGACGAGCTGTTCGCTCGGCCGCCATCTGGCTATAGGCCGGGCGGCAACTGATTAAAATGACTTTTTTATATGTTAAAAAAAATCTGAAGAATATATTTAAAAAATATATATTTTTAAAAATATTATAGGATTATTTAGTAAGGGGGGTGTACACCCCCTGTCACGTTTTTTAGGAAAAGGGGAAGAAATCCCTTCACAGCAAAGGAAATCCCTGGCTAACACCAGGATCACCAGAACTACCATCCCCATTGGAAGATTTACATTCTATACCTGTTCTGGTGACAACACAAAATTTGGGATTTTCCTTCACTTCACTCTTGGTGAAACAGTAAACAGGACAAATAGAGAGGATGAATCTCCCTACATGTGTATCTTGCTAATAGTTACATGTCATATCAGATATTCATCATCCTGCATGTCACGTATAATTTGCTAGAGTCCCCTTGCTGTCTTCATCTCAAAAAGTCCTGTTAGGTCCTATATGTTATGCAAGTCTACCGGTATATTACAGAGTTATACAACTTTTAAGTGACAAAACAATGATGGGAATGTAAAGAAATGAGCACATCGATGCATTTCATAGTCTGAAAGAAATGAACATTTAATGAACTCTGCTTAGCTTCATTTATCAAAACTGATTGCATAACTCTAATGGAATTCTTTTAATTCAGTAGAAAGTTTGCATTTGTAAAGTTGTTTTGATTGGTGCCATTCACTTCTCTTTTTAATTTGATTTAATTGTGAATAGAAACCCACTGACAATGGTCTACTTGACAATAATTTTACATTAGATATTCATTCAGGCAATTTTCCATTCTCTTAAGGATCGATAAAAAAAAAATTGGATTGTGCTGAATACATTGCCACCCCCTCAGAAATGATTGAATATTTTCCAGTCTATACAATCCCTGTCATTTTAACCACTTCAAATCCGGACACTTTCCCCCCCCCCCCCCTTCCTGTCTAGGCCAATTTTCAGCTTTCAGTGCTATCACACTTTGAATGACAATTGCGCGGTCATGCTACACTGTACCCATATGAATTTTTATTTTTTTGAGATAGATAAAACTTTATTTTGGTGGTATTTATTCACCACTGGGATTTTTATTTTTTTGCTATATAAATGAAAAAGTCCAAAAAATTTTTAAAAAGTGTTTTGCTTATAACATTTTGCAAATAAATAATCTTTCTTCATAAATCTTGGCCAGTAAAAAATAAAAAATAACTCAAATTAGTTTATGACAGTGCACCACTGGAGGGCTCTGCTTGTAAGCTAAGTCTACCATATGGCCTATGGCAGCCTTTCTCAACATGGGTACCCAGGCACTTTGGGGTGCCTTGGGGTTTCTTCACGGGTGCCTTGGCAAAACGTCTAAACGTTGCACAAAACTTATATACAAGCCAGCGGGTGGAATAAGCCTGACTTTTAGTTACACAAAGCCACAGGTTTTCATTGCACGCAGGGGCGGACTGACCACTTGGCAACTCGGGCACTACCCGAGGGCCGGGGGTCAGTAGGGGGCCCCATGAGATGCCCCTGGTACCTTTTTCATAGGATTTTTTGAGTTTGGGCAAGGACACAGGGGCCCTATGATCCCCTATTGCCTGGGGGCCCCATGAGTTGTCAGTCCGCCCCTGATTGCACGCCATTACAACCTTCTAGCCACCGCCTCAGGACTGTCCATAATTTTAAAGGGTGACTTGACTGAAAAAAGGTTGATAAACACTGGCCTATGGCATTAACCTGCAGGGGGCCATTGTAATTTTTTTTTAAGTTTACTAGCTCTTTAATGCAGTGTATTAATACATAATTACAATCTTTTAATACATCTAGTGTAATTGCCTGAAATTTACACGGTATCAGCCTCTTGCCATCCCTTATATAGCAGCACTCAGAATCAGAGGGAGAGGGAGCAGCAGGACTAGAAGCCAATCAGGCATACTGAATGCAAATATGCTGATGAGGAATATGCTCGTAGGTGGAGAAAGTGGAGTGAGTATGGAAATGTTTTCACCAGTCTGCTGCTGCTCTTTCATTGTCCAGAAAGCTGAGGGAGGAGAATGGACACTGTATTCCTTAAAGTGGAAGAAAAGACTAACTATATTTATTCTTAAAATGTTCCCTTCCCCCAACTACTTACCTATCTGGCCAAACCTGTATAAAAATGATCCGTATACTTTTTATTTTTAACCTGCTTCAGGCTGTGTTCACACTGATGTGGTGCGGAATTTGCAGCGTTTTCTCTGCGAATTCCGCACTGCATCAGAATCACACCCCGTTCATGCAAACCGATGCGGGTGTGTATGTTAACAACACCCCAAAACCAGTCCGCAAAACGCGATGAGATGTGCAGAATCGGATCGCATAGGTGTGAATACCCATGCGATCCGATTCTAGTGTGGACCATAAAAAGAGTTCTGCACCTTTTTGGTGTGGGTGTAGTGCGATTTGAGCCATACAAAATGTATCGCTCCAATCACACTGCACACAAATCGCATGTGATTTGCACAGGAATGCGGTGCAGTTACTGTGCGAATCACATGCAATGTACCGCAACGCATTAGTGTGAACCTAGCCTCAGTCTGGTCACTTGATCCTGCAGCTTCAACTACCCTGTGTCAGGGAGCAGCTGCTGGAGGAGGATGCACAGATAAGGAGGGTGCTGGACTATGGGAGCCTATGGGTGACATCATGGCTCCTTGAATTCAGAGCTGCTGTTGAGTGCTCCCTTGCAAAGAGCTGCAGGATCACGTGACCAAAGTAGTTTAAAAATAGTAAGTACACAGATCTTTTTTATTCAGCATAGGCAGAATAAGTAGGAAGAGGAGGGGAGAACATTTTTAAACTAGTTACACATTTATTTATTATTTATTTCAGGTACTTATATAGCGCAATCAATTTGTACAGCGCTTTACATATACATTGTACATTCACATCAGTTCCTAACCCTCAAGGGGTGTACAATCTAAGGTTCCTAACTCACACTCATACATACTAGGGCCAAATTTAGACAGGATCCAATTCACCTACCAGCATGTCTTTGGAGTGTGGGAGGAAACCGGAGTACCCGGAGGAAACCCACGCAGCCACAGGGAGAACATGCAAACTCCAGGCAGGTGGTGCCGTGGTTGGGATTCGAATCAACGTCCCTAGTACTGCCAGGCGGAAGTGCTAACCATTTAGCCACTGTGCTGCCCCTGATTTACCAACATAGGGGTTGATTTACTAAAGCTGGAGAATGCAAAATCTGGTGCAGCTCTGCATAGAAACCAATCAGCTTCCAGTTTTTTGTGTCAAAGCTTAATTGAACAAGCTGAAGATAGA